TGAGAAACACAGCACCCCAGCACATGGTTTCTGCAAACAGTGAGCGCAGCTGCACCCCGCAGGGAAGGCTGCTCTTGTACACAATGATAATGATCCATGTCAACAAAAACCATAATTTACATACACACACACAAAAAAGAAATGGGATTCAGAATGGGTAATTTTTCAAATTTTGTTTTCCCAGTAGTCAGTATACACTAAGCATCTTCTACTTGATTTTCAAATGCCATTTCAGGGAGACAACACAGCCAAAGGTATTAAAATTCCTGCACTCCATTATAAGTGGAATTCAGGAAAGTCATAATGGTTTTATCTGCGTTTCAAATTATTAAACTTTCAACCAGAAAGGAGCATTGAATGATAAACTAAATAAAGAGTATTATGGCTGGGGATTTAGCTCAGTGGTTTCGCCGCCTGCTGCGCAAGCGCAAGGACCCGAGTTCAATCCTCGGTACCAAAAAATAAAAAAAAAAAGAGTATTACGATCATGAAATAAAATTTAGATTCCTATGATGAATGTTATATAACTACTTCCTGGGAGACTGTCAGGGACACTACAATTTCAATCATTACACTATGGAACAATTATCAGAAACAAGGTTTCCAGCCTTGTTTTTCTATATGATAGTATTCATTCTAAGGCTGAAAGGTTAATGGATTTACAAAATGTTTTGATTGCTCACTTTTATAAAAATGCAATAGTCTTGCTCTCCCTGCACTAAGGTCAAAAATTTCCACAGTACCTTAAATCCACACACTCTGAAAATTCTTCCCAAAATATTGGCTTTTCTGTAGTTGTCCTTCAGATCTTTGCTCTCTGCTGACTGCCAACTAAAACAATAACATGCGAGTGGAAACTGTCTCATGGAGCCCATTCTGGGAGTCGACATTTAAAGAGAAAAGTTTCCAACTTCCTTAGGTTAAAAAAAAAAAAGTTTCCTCAATTTTCAAAACATTCTCATAATGTCTGAGTATTTGAAAGAACTTTCCTTCAGGGAGTAAGCCAGCTATGTTTCAGTTTTTTCTTACACAACAAAACTTTTTATTTAAATATAGACATTTCTCTACTTACTCTCTGAAGACAGGATTAAATTTACTTTTAAATAACAGTGCATCAACCATTAAAAAAAAAGATAACACCATTTTTCTTTGATAGCTTAACATAATCTCTACTTCTAAACATATCTTTTGATCGTTCCCTCTTCTTGGCCCAGATGGTTGGGTGGTTATCCAGTCTTTTGCCGTAAGAGGCCTGACTGCCCACGTTACTGCAGATGTGATATGTGTACACTCCTGCTCGTGCTTCTCCAACCGAGCTTCCATCCCACATCCTCACCATATACAACTGACCACTGCCATCTCTCTCACTCAACTCCTTCTGCCTCCCCTCTTCTTAACCCAGCCACGATGACCCTCCTACCTATCAAATATGTTATTCAGCTTTCTTGGTTTGTAATGCTCTTCCTTCTGCTTCGAAGGGTTTGGATATTCTGGTTAAAATAGTATTTCTCCCATAAGTCATTCCATCACAATACTCAGAATTCGTCTTCTTCACAACCCCCGTGAGAACTTACTTTCTTATAGGTACTATTTCACCTCCAACATAATTTTAGTTCCAAGGGGCTGTTTTATCTGCTGCTGCATCTCCAGGGCCTTCATCCAGGTCTGCACATAGCAGGTGCTTTACCAACATTTACTGAGTGACTAAACCTCTGGAATTCTTTCCTCTATCCTACTGATCCTATCATTCTTAAATCTCACCTCAAATGTTATGTCCTCAGTAGGGTATTTACTTGTATGTCCTCATCAGCACTGCTGTGAGGTTTAGATCAATGAAGTTTCTGAGCAGACAGAATAGGTACACACTAGTCAGTGGAGGTGAAACCACAAACGGGACATGGTAGAATCCCTGTGGAATTCAGTCTGTTGGAATGTTACAGACTAAAATGGCTTCTTCATCCTCTGAAATACTGTGGTAATTAGACCATGCCATTAAAGTGGTAATGAATCATGATACGCCTTGAGAATTTCTATAATTGTAGCTGCTGAACACAATATCGTGCAGGGATGCAGGATGCATGCTGAGAGTCAGGTTGTGCCTCCTAAGCCCTCATCAGCTCTACTGCAGAATCCCAGAGGGATGAAAACTGAAAAGTTAACGACTAAGAATACACCCCCTCCCTGCTGTCACCATCCTGGTACTGGGGATTGAACCCAGAGCCTTCACTCTGAGCTACATCCCCAGCCCTATTTATCTATTTATTTATTTATCTGCTACCGGGGATCAAACTCAGAACCTTCCACTTGCCAGGCAGGTGTGGCGCCACTGAGCTACATCCCTGGCCCTTTTTACTTTGAGACAGGGTCTTGGTAAGTCACTAAATTGCCAAAGCTGAGCTGAAACTTGTGATCCTCCTGCCTCAGCCTCTCAGGGTGTGGGGATTACACATATGTTCTATCATACGCACCTAGAATTTCCTGCTTTTTCCAACATTAGGACTCTACATAAAAGAAGTTTGTTCTTTACAAGAAAGTCAAAGTTTTGAAAAGTTAAGTATGCCAGAAGGTGATGGGATTTTAACATTTGTTAATAAGCTATATTTACTTGCAAAATGATGACATTAAGTGATATATATGTAAAAATTCTTTCCAAAGGACTTTAAACACACATAAATCAAAATTCTGGTGTTGACTTTTCAGAGGTCTACACATTTTCTGCTGGAATAGATGACAGTGAATCCTAGAGGGCAGGAGTCATGATTTAGGTTTCTGTGCTCTTATGTGCCCCTTCACTACAGAGCCTTTTAACCACAGGTTAGATCTCAGAGAGCCACAGCGAGTTCTTTGGTCCCAACTTGGCAACTCTGCCTTTCAGAAATAACATCCTTACTCTGAAAATGATCAATGCTTATGCTGACTTACTAATGACAGCAGCATTTTTTAAAAACTTCTACAGAAGACCAGTTTGCTAATGCCATTAAGAATTTTTAAATTCTAAAACCAAGAAAAAAAGTTATTTTCTCTAGAAATGAACAAGAACAAAGGTTCACAGACAAGAATTTAAGCACACAAAATTGTAAACCATGGAATGATGGGTGACTCTTACAATACCCATAAATCAAGTTTACCTTCACATCCGGGTTCACACAATCTTTCTAAGATGGCAAGCCTGAGCATGGGCACTTGCAGTAGCTAGATTTTTATAGTATCAAGTACTAAACATAATTTGCCACATTAATTCATATAAAAATAAAAATAAGTTAATAGAAACAAACATTCCCAGAACAATTTATTAATCTTCTGTAATGAACAGAATGCATGATTTTCAAAATCAAAATAGCTTATGTAAACATCAGCATATAGAAAACATAAATTTCTTACATTTCCTAATTTGAACTTTTATTAGTTCTAAGTTAATTTGCACTGTGGTGTCTGATGGCTTTGAAGATGAGCTGCTGAAGACTAACAGTATTTTAAGCCAAAAAAAAAAAAAAAGGACACATTTTCTATGTGTTTATTTTGTACATAGTTGCTTTTTCTTACTGTTATTTAGAATACTTTATCAAAAAAGATCACTAAAAATATCAGGGATCTGAAAGTTATTTTAGATTTTAGAATTAAAGTTGATTTCAATACCTTTCTGACCTTATCCTGTCAAAACCATCCAACCTGCCCTTCTATAATTATTCATGTTCTACTTCGCTTCAATGAGAAGCATTTCTCCCACTGGTAAATTAAGTTCAAAAATGATTTGGCAGGTGCAAATGAGAATTCTATCTAATTTATGTGTGACAAAGGGAGCTCAGGCAATGATTGAGAAACTGAGTAATGATGGCATGTAAGGTAAGAGAAAGAATACATGAGTAAAGACAAATGTTAGATATTGTAGAAGGCCACAAAACGGGAGGTACTTATTTACTCTTTGCTCTGAAAACAAATAATAAAAATGTAGGCTTTGTGTTAATAAAGTTAAAATTCTTGCCACAGAGAGGCTAAGGCTGGCTTCCAGTGCTCCGAGTCTACCATGACACACCAGTAGGTACAGACTGTTCTTGTGATGACGTAGATTTGTTTAAACTACTAATGAAGAAAAAAATCACCTTGCTGAAATAATTCAGTATTTTCCAGTTTCAATTATCAAGGATTTCTGCTTTTTACTCTTGGTTTCTCAGTGCAAAAACTAAAAGACATAGAGATTTTTCTTAACAGAATCAAAATGCTTTTAAGTTCAAAATCAAGAACCAAGGTAACATTTTTAAAAGTTTAATTTTGGGACAGTGGAGGTAGAATAAAACTACAAGATACAAAACAAGGCCACCTTCCAACTCATTGCCTTATTCAATAGTCCAAAGATCCAATAATCCAAAAATCCTACAATGACCTTTATTGTAAGCTAAGCTAAAAAGCACTCCTCTCAATACACCTACGTTCTAAACTCCCTATACTTGTGAATGTATTAATTTACATCGTAAAAAAAAAAAAAAGACTTTGCAGAAATGATTAAAATTGAAAATGGGGAGATTATCTGAGAGGGTCCAATGTAATAAAAAAGGTCCTTAGAAAATGGAAGCAGGAGGATCAGGGTTAGGAGTAAGAGATGTGACAACAGAAGCAAGAGGCTGGAGTGGCATAAGAGAGACAAGCCAAGGAGTGAAGGTGGCCAGACTCTGGAGGCTGAAAAGAGCAAGAAACAAGATTCTCCCTTCCAACCTCCTTCCTTCACAAGGAACCAGCCCTGTAGCATCTTGTCTTCATCCCTGTAAGAATCAGTTTTCTACTTTATACTTTTTCTTTATTATTTAAAATAACAGAATCTTTGAAATATCGCCCTTACTCTTCTTTCTCTTAGCCTAGACATAAAAAATATATTTTAAAAGTCTACCAATGCTCAGTCTCAATTTCTTTTACTTCCCAAATACTTCTTTGTGAATAGAGGGAAGTACAAAAACCTTTAAGAACCCCAAGGAAAAGCTGGTTTGTTTCTCTTGTGCACTTCTCACCTGCTATTTTGATATTAAGATTGGCATCCAGAAGCAAATTTTCAGCTTTTAAATCACGATGAACAATGTTCCGACAGTGACAAAAATACACGGCTGTGACGATCTGCTTGAACTTGCGACGGGCTTCCTTTTCTGCCATTCTGCCATGGGCCACCAGGTGATCTAGGTTGAAGAAAATCACAGTCAGTTCTCATTTTGGATGCTGGTATAATTTCATAAGTTACACTTAGGGTATATAAAAGAACCCCACCAAACGACTGAATAAAAGAAGTGAAACAAAAAAAAGGAAAACAACACAGTCCTAGTTTGTATTTATAAAAACTCAGTAGTGATAAGAATCTAAATTATTTTAAGTATAAATCTTGTTATGTATAAGTATACTTGCACTGCAATAAGAAAAAAGTAGTCTGAGGGTTTAATAGCATTTTTAAGAATTTTAACACAGAACACTTTCCTTTTCATATCCCCATTACAAAAGAGTATAATACAGAAGCAAACACATGAATGAAGATAAGCATCAGAGATGTTTCCTCTGTTAGAGGGTGAGTCAAAAAGCAGACCCTTAATAATCAATCATCATAGCAGAGAGTAGATATTGTCAAGGGGGAAAACTGCTTTATATGAAACTCTGTTTAGGCTAGAATCTCTTCTGTTTTCTTAAAGTTCTACAGTTTGACATAAACACTTCTTTAGTCACTTAGCAACATGACTACATCTTTATACCTGCATTTGTTGGGCTTACCAAAACAACAAAGTTCCTTAAAACTTTGTTAATAATTTTTATAGATAACATTAACAGAAAGCCAACTAAAGTTTCTACCAACTTAAATGAATTACTTTATTGGCTGGTTGCTAATAAGGTATAACAAAAGAATTTATATGCAATAAATTCTGTAATACTGTAAATCACGCTATCTTCAAAATTTTAAAAACTAATTTGATGGACCCATAAATAATGCAGCAAGTTCTTTAAGAACTGTTCAAAATGGCAGTAGCCATATACTCAATCAATGACATACATATTCTTGACCTATTTCTTCATGAAACCAACAACACATACAGGTCAAGACAGCTGATGGGATTAGAATTGTCAGTTGTAGCACAGTATGTTCTGTTTGAAATTTCGTATAGTTTCATCTGTACTGTATTTTAGTCAACCAATTCAGTAGGGAAAAGGTCATACTTGCCATCCTAAGCACCAAAGATAGTAAGAAAGTGGAACGTTAGACAACATAAATAAATGTATTGTTTGCTTATTGGCTGTAGTTCCATTAATACTATCCAACTGTTTTGGCGAGCTACATCTTACTCACCCATAGAACTGGTCAGGTATATGTATTTTTTTAATCACAAAAAAGAAGTTCAGGGTAAAACATCATCACTAGTGCCAAATCTAAGAGCATGGAAGAAGAAATGGAGGGGGGGATGAAAAGAGGGGGCCACACTGACAATCCATCTACAAAGCAGATTTTGAGAAATATTGAAACTGTACTTTGACCACAAAGAACATAATATTCTGGAGTGCAAGCACTAGAGTAAGTTTAAGAGCATGTCTTAAAAGTAAATGTCTTAACTTACTAACAAAGATGCTGGGTATGGTGGCACATGTCTGCAATCCTATCACTCTGGGAGGCTGAGGCAGGAAGATCACAAGTTTGAGCCCAGAGTGGGCAATTTAGCAACTCAAAATAAAAAATAAATAAGAGTGGGGGATATAGCTCAGGGCAAAGGCCTGGGGTTCAATCCCCAGTAGAAGGGAGAGGTAGGAGAGGGGAAAAGGGGAAGGCCGGGAGGGAGGGGGAAAATGGAGAGGGAGAGGGGGAAGGGGGGAAAGGAGGGAGGGGAAGGTGAAGAAGGAGGAGGGGGACGGAGAGGGAGTTGAAAAGGGAGAGGGGAGAGGAGGAGTAGACAGAAAGAGATCCACCCCTCAGAGGAACTGTTAGAAGTTTATCACACATAGGTTTTGTTTTTTGCAGTACTCCGGACTGAACCCAGGGCCTTCACACTAAGCTATATCCCCTGCCCCCCCCTTTTTTTTTGATACTGGGGATCTAACTCGGGACCTTGCACTTGCTGCCCTTTTTAACTTTTTTTATTTTGCAACAGAGTCTAAGTCACTAAATTGCCCAGGCTGTGGTTGAGCTTGCAATCTCCCTGCCTCGGCCTCCTAGAGTGCTGGGATTACAGGTGTGTACCACACCATGCCTGGCTTAGGCATAAAATCTTTGAAGCAATTCCCTCAAAAATTACTGTTATTGGGCCGGGCATTTAGCTCAGTGGTGCCACTGCCTGCCTCGCAAGCGCAAGGTTCCAAGTTCGATCCCTGGTACCGAAAAAAAAAAAATTACTGTTATTTCCAAGATTGCCAACTTAATAGAAAAAAGAAGTCTTCAGCTTGGAAATTTGAAGGGCTAGAACACAGCTTCTTGTGAGAGTTTAGAGGTAGTGACAAATGAGCTTACACTCTAGTGTGTTTAGGCTTCTGGTGAGATCTGTCATACGAAATTTAAACAACACAAACTCTCTAAGACCATGGAAGCTGCTAAAGAACTGGGCATCCATCAGATTAGAATGCTGTTTTAAGAGGCCATTCTCTAACAGTACCTGGTTTTTGACCCCCTATTTCTTATAAGAGGGGACTCATTATTCTAATAATATGTTTCAGTTGCTAAACTTTGCCTAATTAAAGAGCTTTGAAGAGACAGCTATTCTTGAGAAACATAAAAATAAACTCTTGTGAAGGTTTACCATCAGAAGCTCATTTGGCCAAAGCCACCCATTAATTAAAATGCCCAAGAGATATTCATCTGACAGTAAATACTAATTACCAGAACACATCAAAGTGCTTCTTAAATGCGACAGAATGATTAATTTTGTGATTTATAAAATAAGTGATTTTCTTTTATTAAAAAAAACTATTTATAAACTTCTGAGTACCTTATTTTTCTAAAATGATTGGAAAGTTCTCAAAACTGTTACAGAGGCCAGAAGCTAGTGGAATGCAGCACAGTTCTGTTCTAACTGCAATGACACATTAGTTGTTCTTGGACAAAATGTTCACACAGCCAATACCCTTACCTCTTGATCTGCTGAACAGAAGAAATCTCCATTGCATGCCACAGCCAGAGACTGGGAATAAATTTGTACTTTTACTAAAAGTTGGACATTTTTTAAATGGTCTACTCTATACAAGGAATATTTAAGCATTTTTAATAGATAACAAAGTTCCTCAAGATTCTGTGGTGATGGGCTGGGGATTTAGCTCAGTGGTTCTGCCACCTGCCTCATAAGCGCAAGGTCCCGAGTTTGATCCCCAGTACCAAAAAAAAACCAAACAGATTCTGTGATGCTTAAATGTGATCATTCTATACACCAGTTTTCTCTGTTAATAATTCTGGTTCAAAGGTATTTGTGTCAGCTCACTGGGTAAGACTATAGTACCTAAGACTACACACAGCTTAAAAAATACTTTCCCCCAAAGTCACCCACAGTATTCCTATAGTTACAGATATAAAGATCTACAAATTCCTTTTTAAAAATGTTAACTACAAACATTTGCTATTTCCTCCTAGCTATGTTTGGTGTTCAAGTTTCCTCTTTAATAGCATTGTGCTCTTCCTCATACAGGCCCACGGCTCAATCTCATTCAGAACTTAGTCTTTGCTTTTATTTTTGTCCATCTTATTTTCCCACCCTCCCTGTTAGTTTGCTTTCAGTGAAAACTTATGGGGTCTAGTGGGTGTGTCAGGAAGCCAGCAGTGGTTTTCAGTCCCTCCTGAAAATTGCCTTTCAGCTGCCCTCTGACAAATGGCTGCTTTATATTCCTATATGCACAACAGACAGACAGCAAAAATTCAAGTTCAAATGTAATATTCAGCTTTCAGTAAGGAATTTCAGAGCACTAATCTAGCCTAGACTTAACTGATAGTCACAGGAATTGAATAAATATGGGGGTGTTTTCAGAAGGCAAATAAAATAAAATGGCTCCTGAGTCCACATATTATTCAAAGTGAGGTATATTTTGAACCTTGTTAGAATAAACTGCAGTTGCAAGGAACTCTAAAGAGTTAGTCTTCCAGGCAATTCTGTGAGCTAGCTCTCGTAGGTCCTGAGCACAGACACCTGCCACATCCTCAATCACCTGCCAATCACCCCACACTGAAACCATGACCCTAGTTTCTAGTATTTGTAGATTCCTGTCCTTCCTCTCAAACCTCACTGAGATACCTGCTATATAAAGCCCACCACGCGAAGCCCTTTTCACCATCAATTAACTACTTATCTATTTATCTATCTATTTAGGCCTGGGGAAAATTTAAACTTTTCTTCTATCACAACTCCACTCAAACCGTCTAAACTAGACAGGGCTGAGGGGGCTCTCAGATAAAAGGAGAAACGTTTCAAATGTTTCTGTTTCAAACTCTCATCAAAAGTAAAAAGTCTGAGTTCTCTTTCTCACTTTTCAATCATCATAAATACTTGGCATTGGACTAATTTAATATTTATCTGCCCTTCCTCATGAAACAAAAATCTGACACTAAGGATTGATATAGCCCTCCGGGGTAATTTTACTAGAATAGGGAATGAATTCTGCACTTATGGAAACACTAGAGGTACCAGGATGTAAAGGTTTCTTTAGAATTCACTGTAACTTTGTCCCAATGTAACTCGGGAAGAAACATCTTGTAGTACGTTTAGGTTCCAACCTTTCAAAGAGCAAAAACACACATAAGCCAGTCTCTGCTTCCCCAGACCAGCTTCACTGGAGTGTCAGAGGTATGCCACTAATGGGACAGTGGTGGGAGCTAACATTTCTTAAAATAAGTCACTTTCCACTCTAACCAGACAGTGCCTCCATTTGTCTGCTAAGTCTTCAACTCACAGCTGATTCAAAACACTGCTGAAAAGAACAGACAATAATAGCAGTTCAAGCAATGGGCAGAAACTTTGCATTTCTCAAGATGAATAGCAAACTTAGTCTAGAAATGAGAAAAAGTAGCATGTGTGCTCATCTTAGGGGCTCCTGAAAAAATTTCAGCCATTCCAAGTTAACCATAGCTAGTAGCCCTCTACTTTGCCACTCGATTCTGTCATTTCTTCTTCCTACACCCATGGAAATGATTTCCTGTTTATCAAACAAATACTTCTTTCCAAAAAAGGTC